TTTCTTAGGGACCACGAGGGGCCTTTTTATTTGCTAGGGACTAAAGCGGGTATCGTGAAATTGTTGAGAACCAAAAAAAGTATTTACTCTAAAAAAAAAAAAAAGTACCAAAGTGGATATATCTGATGTATTGAAAATATTTCCGGAACATCAGTTGGTTTAAAACTTATCGTCACCTATTACATTAGGCGTTAATTGGTTGACCCGTTCTTTCAGTTCAATGTTATTGGATTAGCTGATTTTAATTGTTTTAGTTGAAATTTAGAATAAGAATGATTGGTTTTCTACTTTTATGCAATTGATAGGTTGGCCCTTTTTTCTATGCTTAAAAAGTTTGATATGGCCCAATTCAAGCTAGATTATGGCTAAGTCAACCAGGCCTCAAATTTTTGTTGAATAATTGATAGCAAGGACTTATTGTTTGGCCCATCTCTGCTATTTTGGCTTAATGTTGGACATGCATAATGACAAATATTGCTGCACGAGCTGTAAAAATGCAACAGCAATGTTATATGTTCAAAAAAAAAAAAGAGCATATATAATTATCTTAGACCTTTTTTTTGTAAATTAACACTGAATTTTAAATGTTATTTAAAATCAACCAAAAAAATTCATATTTAATTTATAAACAATGACTACTACACCAATTGATTATTTTGTCTCACTGGGAAGATTTTAATTTTTCATTTGTAAGGTATCTCTAAAATTCATTAATTTATTTATTAAAACCCTTATGTTGTATGTATTTTAACTTTTTGAAAATAAATAAATAAAAAGGAATGTAATTAAACATTTTATAATTCCTACCGCATGTATGGATTGTAATTAAACATTTTCCGTTTTTCTTCAATAAAAATTGGCGTATTGAAACTATATTCGTCCTTTTGTTCTCTGGTGAAAGGTATTTGTTTTTTTATTTTTATTTTTAAAACGTATTAACAAACTTAGGAAGTTTTCATGATTCAACAGTTCTAACTTATAAAACGATTACATATTACATGTATTTATTTTAAACGGTGAGATGTCGCAAAAACAAAATTTGGTAGTCATGATATAGAGTGCTAACGAATTTAATGTTTGAGTTTCTTCTTTTCATTTTTTATCAAATCAAACTCACGTTATTTAAAAATGTAAGTTAAACTTTTTTTTCATAGTAAAAAAAAAAAAGAAAATAAATAGAAAGGGGTACATAATTTAAGCAATTGGGTAGGTATCAGCCCAAACTTGAGTTTAAGCTGGAATTTTTCTTTGTTCAAATATGTTTTTGTTACTTTAATGTTGACTTAGGGCTTGTTTGGATGGGCTTGTTTTTCTTCAGAAGTTGTTTTTTTTTTTTGTTGAAAAAAAGCACTTTTCATTTTTAGTTCGTTTGGATGTCTGCTTTTAAAAAAATCAAAAGTCACAAAAAAAAAGTTAAAAACCTACTTTTTTCTGAAGCTAAAAATTTTAACTACTAAAAAAAGCAGAAGTCAAAAGTCAAATATTTTTTTCAAAATCTAAATATTTTTATAAAAATATAAATAACTTTAACTTTTGTAAAAAAGACTTCTAAAATAAAAAAGAGATAAAAATTAGTTTTTTTAAAAGTGCAAACAAACGCACTCTTAATGCACGTGACACAGACATATTCATTCTTGAAAGGGTTTCACAATATACAATTAAAACATCTGATTTCAACCATTTAGCTGATTATTGTTGCAATTATAAAATATACAAATTCATCGGTCCTTAGCCTCAAGACTATTATATAATATTTTTCTATTTTAAGAAATAATTATTTTTTCATTTTTATGTTGTTTTACAGAATTGAGATGAAGAAGCGTTCACGGTCTGGATTCAATCGATTTTGGAAGTAAAAATCATTCGATCCAATTTCTTCAGTTTAATCATGTAATCATCCATTCGGTTTGAATTTTTTTTCAAATCTGATCTGATTCAATCTAATTTTATTCTTTTTGGATGAGATCGGTTTTCGATTTTTTGAAAACCTTAAGATTTGTATAATAATTATTGTGCAAATAACATATATTTTGTATGTATCGACTTTGTAAAGTTTGTATGATGATTATTGTGCATTCTAGAAGCATTGTACAACAAAATGTTAAATTATCATCTTTTACTTCCAATAAAAAAAATTATAATATGGTTGTCTGAGATACTAAGTAACCCAAATTTTTATCCAATAGAGGAGCTGCTGTACAACAATAACTTATGTAATAAAAATATATTATGTATCTTACCAAAAAGAGAGAGCATAATATAGATCAAGCACAACCCACTTTCTCCAACATGATAGGTTAATGGGTCTTGGATTTAAAATTTTGCTATATAGTTTTTGGGCTACGATTGGGAAAAGGCCTAAGTAGGTAGATGGTAAGATTGAGGAATCATTGAATCGGTTTGGATTGGATCGATTTCACCAATCCATCCAAAAATCGATCCAATTCAATTAAATTTTGTGATTTTATTTTTATTTTTAATTTTTTCAATTTTCGATTAATTTTATTATTGATTCGGTCATCGTAATTTGAATCGGTTTAGATCAATTGATGAACACATATAGCTACTTTTATGTGTGTACTCAATAAAATAGGAAAGATAAAACTTAAGTATTTTAATATAGAAAATTTATTTAGTATAATATTTTATTTTATTTTTGTAACGAAAATACGTCATAACGTAATTTTGATAAAAAAATCTTAACACAAGACAAAAAGTTTGATTAAAAAAAAAACAAGTGCACAAGACTGACAAGAGTACGTAGAAACTAGGAATGCCGTCATTTCCCGGATGATTTACAATTGTGCCAAGACAAAAAGTTCGATTAAACTTCACAATATTTAAGAATTAAAAAATCATTGTACTAAAAAAAAAAAAACATAACAAGTGCACAAGACTGACAAGAGTACGTAGAAACTAGGGGTGTTCGCGGTCTGAATTGAATCGATTTTGGGAGTAAAAATTATCCGATCTAATCCTTTCGGTTTGATTCTGTAATCATCCATTCGGTTTGGATTTTTTTCAAATTCGATCCAATCCAATCCAATTTTTTTCGGTTTGTATTGGATTGGATCGGTTTTCGATTTTTTGAAAATCTTAAAATTTGTTTCATGATTATTGTGCAAATAACATCTTTTGTATATATTGGCTTTGTAATTTTTTTTAAATACAAAATCATCAGTAAACGATAATATAGTTTTTTTTTGGACAATGAGATATGAAACTCTACATAGATAAAATTTTGTTGATGAGATGTGACTAGATTTTTTCTTGAGTTTAGTCGATGGGTTAATGGATCTTGCGTTTATAGATTTTTGTGCTATGATATGGGGAAGACCCAAGTAAGTAGAGAAAAATTAATATATTGGATCGGTTTGGATTGGATCGGTTTTCCTCTACCAATCCGAAAATCGATCCAATCCACTTAAAATTTGCGGTTTTTTTTTCAGTTTTTGATTTTTCAGTTTTCGATTTTTCGGTTCGGTCACCGCAGTTTGAATCGATTGATGAACACCCCTAGCAGAAACTAGGAATGCCGTCATTTCCCAGATGATTTACACCATTGTGCCATGTATTTCACTTGTAAACTTTTTTTTTAGTATAACTTGAGGGTATCCTCATTCAACCTCCTTCGGTCACCTTGTCCTCGGAGTACGACCCTGTAGGCTTGTCCCTCATTGGAACAATGAGTGCATTGAGCTTCGCTATCGGAGGAAAGATGAGATTAATCTCCCATTCGAGGAAAGAGGCATATCCTCTGACCCCCAAAGATTTTTCAAGAATTTGCTTGAGGTAGGGTTTGAATCCCTGACTCAAGCAAACCCTTGGAAGCTTTGCCAACTGAGTTATCCTTAGGGCCCGTTTGGTAGCAGGATTTTTTTTTTTTCGGGATTCCTTAGTTGGGTAAATAAGAATGCATCGTTTGGTAAAGGATTTTTAAAATATTTCCGAAAATCTGATTTCTCCATAATTTTCTTTTGTGTATAATTTTTTTTGAAAAAACCATCTAGAAATACCATCCAAAAGGTGGTATTTTAGGATTTCTATGATAAGGGAAATTTAATACAACTAAACACAACATCAACAAAATTAACCCAATATTTTCAGAAATATGTTAGTCTACCAAACAACTTTTTGATAACATTCCCAAAAAACTCATTTTCTCATCATTTTCCTGAAAATCATGATTCCCGGATAAAAAAAAATTTCTCCTTTATCAAACGTCCCCTTAGAGATTATTTCACTTGTAAACTTTAAAATGCGTGATTAATGGTTTCAATTCAATGAATAGGGTTTTTTTTTTTTTTTTGTATAACAATTCAATGAATAGCTTAAGCACTTTACCCAAACCTCGATGGATTTCAGACGCAGCACACTAAAGCCAAATACCAATGGAAAACAGGTTTCGTGGACACGTGTGCATGGATGGCGACCCAGTCACTCACTGCAATGAACAAAAGGACCCTATATCCTACGCAGAAAGAAAACTCAAACTCAAACTAGTGCGCATAAAAAGTTCCTCATCTTCAATTAAAGCGTTAAATAAAAGATGTACCCCCTTCTCTATCATAACATATTTTAAACTATGGTTACTTTTCTTGCATAATGATAGAGAACATAAATCAAATACTACAGCATAAATAGTTGAGTTATATGATAATAAATATTTTGTGTTGTTGTAAATAATAAAATAAATTATTATTTTTTATTGAGACAGGATCTTTAATAAAACAAATTATAACCATTTATTTGATTTTGATTCAACTACCATAAAAATAATGGTAAGAGATTGTAAAAATATATATTGTAAAAGTAGCCTCTTCCTATTTTATATTTAAGCGAATCAAATCAACTCTAAATTATTTAATTATATATATATTTTTATTTTTTTTGCGGGCTTTTTTCAAAAAAGCTCACTAAATTTTAGTTTTGCTTTATCTCTCTCAACACTTATAAACTTCAATACTCAAAAGTTTTGTAGCAAATTCAAACACGTTATATATCAACATTCTCCATCGATCCACACCATGGCGGCGTGCACGACGGACATAGCTAGAGCCGTCGCATGCAGAGACGGCACGGCGGCGGCGCACCTGAAAGTGATCTCCGTGTTCTCGATATTCGCCACCAGCATGGTCGGCGTGTCGTTGCCGGTGATGTTGGCGCGGTATTTTCAGGGCAAATCCCTCTACGACATGGCAATCTTGGTGATCAAGTGTTTCGCCGCCGGCGTCATACTCGCCACCTCATTGGTCCACGTGTTGCCGGACGCCTTCGCAGCGCTCTCCGACTGCAACGTGGCATCCCGGCACCCGTGGAAGGACTTTCCCTTCGCCGGCCTTGTGACACTGGCGGGGGCTTTGGTGGCGCTGTTGGTGGACGCCGCCGCAAGCTCGCACGTGGAGCACGCGCACTATGCGGCGGTGGAGACGGAGGAGAAGGAAGGTGGCGGAGAGTGGAGAATGGAACTCGTTGGCGGCGGCGGTGATGGTGGTGAATTGGAGAGAGTTGAAGAGTTGATGAGGTTGAAGCAGAGGTTGGTGTCGCAAGTGCTTGAGATTGGGATAATATTTCACTCAGTGATAATAGGTGTCACTTTGGGAATGTCTCAAAACATTTGCACCATTCGACCCCTCGTTGCTGCTTTGGCATTTCATCAGATTTTTGAAGGTATGGGTCTTGGTGGTTGCATTGCTCAGGTTCGTATAAATTTCCTCCCTCTCCTTCCAAAACTATTTATTTCTGTTATATTTATTATTTGTTTTGTTATTACTGAATTAATTTGAATTAATCTAAGTAGTGTTAAAATAATCGCCACATAAAATTTAGCTTCATAATCTATATTTGGAATGTCAAGATGAGAGAAAAAGATAAAGATTAGTTAAGATTTTAATCTAATGATATTTTAGAGTGGTAGAAAAAAAAATAAGTAGAATAACATATGTATATATTGTTTGATAATTGATATGATAAGTTAGTGCGCATAATAAAAAATTTTACTGCCAATCTTAGTTATTAATTGGTTTGCATTTAACCGCTTACAATTATGTAATAAGATATAACGATTTGATATAAACAAAATCAAATATTAAAATTAAAAATGTTAATTTGGTATACAATGATAGTGTCCCCCATAAACTAACTGGAGGGTGCACATCTCTCATATTCATCGTGAAGAAAATAGTGTGGCTGATTAGCTTGCCTCTTATTCTTATGAGTTTAATATTTGTTGATCTTCCATAAGGGTACCTTGGCAGACTATTTTATGACTTTATAGGAGTAGGGTGGCCCAGAGCTTGTAGCTAGTTTTTGTTTTTTGTTTTTATCTTCATGTTAATTTCCAAAAAAAATAAATAACTATAATCAAAGCGAAAGAGCATTTGAAAAACAAAAAGACTTTCTTTAAAATGTAAGCAAATTCCAACATACATTAAATAATTTTTTTTTGTCATAATGAGTTGGCGTTATTATATATTGACTCGAGTATACATGAATACATTTCATGACTTTGACTTAATGAATAAATAATTTCTGGGTCTATCAAGTTACTTCATAAAAACTAATTAAAAGAATGCATTTCTTCACGAATTATTTTTTTGCAGATACATTTATTTGTAACTTGACTTAAAGTTTCGTGGCAAAAGATGTTGATTGGTATCTTTATATGGTGATAATTGCAGGCGGGGTTTAGCTTTGGAACAACGGCGTACATGTGTTTCATGTTCTCGGTGACAACACCAATGGGGATAATTTTGGGGATGGTGTTGTTCTCAGTGACTGGTTATGATGATAGTAGCCCTAATGCATTGATCATGGAAGGGTTACTGGGTTCAGTTTCATCAGGGATACTAATTTACATGGCTCTTGTTGATCTCATAGCAGCTGATTTCTTTCATAACAAGCTTATGAACTCCAATCCATTGTTGAAAAAGGTGTCTTTCATTGCATTAACTCTTGGCTCTGCTACAATGTCAGTTCTAGCCCTTTGGGCTTGAACATTTTGTCTTGTGTTCAATTAATGTAAGGTGTAAATCCAAGGTTATTAGTAAAAGAATTCAGTGGCAAATTGTACTCTCTCTTTTTTTGGAATGAGCAAATTGTACTTTATTTCCTTAAAATTTTTGTTCATATTAATTTTGGTGCATTAATTTTTAAAATTAAAACATTGAATATCATGTTCCCATTTAACATATAAAAGAAATTGCACATGCTGACAAAATAAGGCTTACTAGGTGGGCACTCAGCTTTTCCTTAATAACTTTCCCAATTACGTTATCTCGAATTCTTAAGAAAAAACAAATGCATAAAGGTAAAAAGTGATAGCAAAATAATTATAGTAAAATGTAGTTGAGAAAGCTCTATGGCATGCCATCCTAGCTAGTAGATAATGGTTTAGTGCCTTTGCCATTCTTTGCACATATTGCAATTCTGAAGTGTCATTCTACTGTACCTTAATCTTTTTCTTGTCACACTTTGCTTCTTTCAATCTTTGTTGAAAGTATGTATGCAGATTCCTGATTCCACTATGTGCCTTTTAGTTTAGTAAAGGAACCTATGATTTGTAAGGGTGGTGGTGATCCTTATCTTACATAAAGTAACTTGTTTTTTCTTTTCTTGCATTTTTCCTAATATTGATCAGTCTTATTGCAACTTGGGAAATTGTTTTATTACACCGTTTTATTGGCTTTAACCAAAAGAAATCTCTGATTCCAATTCAATAGTACACGAATGAATATATTGAAGAAAATGCAAGTGAGGAAAATAATATATATACGTCTCTGAATTATTTGAGGTTAAGAAAATTAAAGGAAAAAAAAAATAGTGAGACTCAGAAGTTGTGCACAGACAGAAAAGAATTAGAAAAAAAAAGTTGAATATTCAATTGAAAAAGTATGTGTGCACAATAGTCCTAGAGAGAGGAGGAATTCAAGAATACTGAAATGAAAAAAAAAATATACATACTAATTAAGATGAACTTCTTCAAAAGTGAAAAATAAAAGTACGTACATTTAAATATTAATAAGTAAAAATCATCATAAACTTTAAAATAAATCATGAGTAAATATATTCTTATTTTGTTTAATTTATATGAGGAAAATTATATTTACAACCTATTTTCGTTTACAATCTTTTGTAACCATATCTTAATCGTTGATTTCCGTCAATCAACAATTATCATTTATTAAGAATTAAGAATTAATTAATGAATTTGATTTACGAAAATAATAACCGTTGATTGGCGAAAATCAACGGTTAAAATATAATTGTAAGATATTGTAAATGAAAATAAGTTCCATGTATAATAACCTATCCAGTATAATATTCCTCAGTTCATATATAAGAAAGAGTTTTATTTATTTATAAATATATTACTTTGGAAAAGCACCAATGAAGTACTCAATATCCCACTTCAGTGGCTCGGTTGGTTAGACTTTAGGTAGTGTTTGGTAGAAGATTTATTTTGAAATTGATGGAAAAATGTAAGTGGATATTAGAAAATATCACGTTTTGGTTCAGGTTTTTGAAAAAAATACTAAGCAAATAGGATAAATGGGGAAATGACTTTTGTGTTGATTTTTGGATGAAATTCACTGTTATAGAATACCACTTGAAATGTGGTATTTTGAGATAACTGAGGATATGAAAAAACAGGTGCGAAGTTTTTCCCGAACATAGATTTTGCAAATTTAAATAAATTTCTCTGGTAATATCTTGGTCAACCAAACAATTTTTTTTACATTTTCCTACTAAACTTACTTTCCAACTATTTCCCTATCAATTACATTTCCCTAGTATTCAAAAAATTTCTCCTCAACCAAACGCCCCCTTAGAGTGTTGCTCGCGATGTCGCGTGTTTGAAGCTTTGACATGACCAAAATCACCTGAAAATCTAGGTTTCACATAAAATTATGAATTCTATTTTCGTTAAAAATTTCTCATTTTACATACAATAAATACGTGAATCTCGTTGAAATTTTTTATGGTATATTCTCGGGGTAATATTAGAAAAAAAAAATACTAACAAATATTTCGATGTGTGTGTCACGTAAGATTGCTTTATCTTAATGAGAAAATAATTCCCCATATTCACGAGTCTTTGAATTGATCAAAGGTAAACGTGATTGTCTTGTAGTCTAATCAATTAACTATGTAAGCAAATCCTTTTTTTCATTAAAAGGAAGGGTTTTATTATTCTTCATTTGCATAAGATAGTTATCTTATGTTGTAGAGAGAAAATGAGTGGATCCCACCGTTACAAGAAAAAAGAAAAAATAGGAAAAAGGAAAAGGTGAGGTACGAAAATTGAAGTAAAAGAGTAGGAGAGAAGTTATCTTATATAAAAGAGAGTAATATTTCCCTAAAAGAAAACCAACCTATTCCTCATTTACTTATTAGTGTCCACAACTAAAAAAAAGTTATAGTTAAATATCCTTAATAAGCATATTCTATTATTCTGTAACATAAAATTGACTCCTCTAAAATGAAGAATGTATTTTAAAAGAAAAGAAAAGAAATTGTAAATTTTAATTAAAAAATTAACACTTAAGATTATAATAAAATACGTGTACATATAAAATAAATAATGAAATTTTTAAAATTTGCTCTCTTTAGTATTTTTTTATTATTTTTTTTTTTGGTAAACGCTCTCTTTAGTATTTAATCAGTAGTTAAACTCTACACTTTGTTCCCTAATTTATACTTCGATCTCCTTTACATGCACACATATGTTGATGTTTTTAAGGTAGCTTTGATTTGTGCAGTGTTAAAGGGGAATAGATATTTTGTTCAAAGTCACAATGACATTTGAGATTGTTATATAAAGAAAAATGCAAAAAAGACCAACAAGCAAGCACGCGGATTGATTGAATTATTTTAACTTAATTAATGATCTAGAATTAATATGAGTTTTTAAGAACGTAATTGTATTAAAATTTGATTGAAAGAATTTGATCATAGTAATCCCTGAACCAAAAAATAAAAATAAAAAATAAAAAAAAACCTAGCATAGGTGATAGGTTAGAAATGTGAGATCTAATTATTAAATATATGGATCAATTAGCCCGAATTTACTTGAGTTTAATCAATAATTTTAAATTTGAAATGTGAATATAAACTTTTAAAATTTTAACACAAGAAGATTCGTGCACAAAATTACTCTTTCGCTCCCTTCATGTTTATTGTGGAATCCCTATAAAGGAGGCCATTATTTGTCAGATCATTTGCAAAGATCAAATTGGTCATCCAAGAAGCTCCAAAACTGTGAAATTTCCAATGCAAATTTCAGTGCAATTCATAAAATGGTTACTACATATTAGTGGACGTCTAAGTACGTGAACTGCGTCTTAGGACAAGCAACTGCAACTGCAAGTCTGCAACTGGCACCTGTGTATCCGTGACTGTGTGCAAGCCTAGGAGTTTTTTTTTTAAAAAAAATCATAAAACGCGCCTTAAAAACAATATTATCAGTAAAATATTATTATATAACGACAATACCAATAAATATTACAGTTAGTAGCAGTACTTCAACTCTTCAAGTGGTGTACCCCAAAGAGAATTAATTTCTTTTCTATTTTTCGTTCACATGACTAAGAATTTTATTTCCATTCATGAATAAATAGTCAAGTACAGTGGCAAAAAAAGGTCGGCTTCGTAAAGATATAAATTAATAAAAGATATTCTGAATAATTTGGTATAAGTAATTACTCATATCTGTAATTATTTAAAATATTTTTTTACTAATTTATGTCTTTTTAAACCCAATGTAAAAAAATAAAATTTCACAATCGTTATATAAAAGGTAAAGTTGTTAATAATGTATTAATGTATTATTGAATGATAATCAATTTTTTTTCTACAAAAATATGGATCACATGCATCAAAGAGTACTGAATACTTCGATTCCTGTTGAATGCATTCTTGGGGAGGGGGCTGAACCTTTAGCCATCACTGATCCCCCGCACTCCGGATTAGTCCCATGGCCGGCTCAAAGAGTCGAAGCTCGTGGGGATACCGGAGGGAGCCAACTCGCCTCAAAGAGATAATTAGGGTTGGGTAACTCCAAAAAAAAGAGTACTGAATACATTTTATTTTATTTTATTTTTTAAAAAAAATACACATTTCTTTAAAAAATTAATTTTTTTAATATTAATGTACAAATAAATATATTAAATGATTACATTTTAAAAATTTCAAAATTAACAAAAAAAATTTACTTATAAACAAAAAAATGTTAAATATTTTCTGACACATAAAATTTGTTTTTATTTTTCAGTGTAGAAATAGCCAACTCTTGGTATTATATATCCTACCTGGTAAGAAAGCGATGGTAACAAATGCTCACAACTACCTCACAGAGGACTCATATCTGAGAGCAACTACCTCTACCTACAGGGTGTGGCCATATTTATCTTCTACTATTAATTTTCAATCTAACTTTTTAACCAAAGCCTCTACATATCTTACTCTCTCTTTTTGTCACCTTCAATTCAACCTTCTATCATACTACCACAACCAAATAATGTCCTCTTACCATATCATTCAGTGGCACTTCAATAAGCTTAATGCTTCAAACTTCCACTCTTATAGCAAAGGCCTATTCCTCCTTCTATTGTTCATTGCCTTTCTCATCATTCTCCATGCATTTTTCCTCTTGGTCCACTTTTGTTGCCGTCGGTTTTCACAACAACCCGCCACCGCCGCCGCCGCCACCGCCACGTTGGTGATCTCTCCGCTGCCTCATCATCAATGTGATAGGGTTGACTACACAAATGACCACATTATGCTCCAATATTCAACTAGCAAGAGCCTTAGTAGCATGGTTGGTGAAGGTTTTGAGAAGAAGGAATGTTGCATATGTTTGTGTGTTTTACAAGATAATGAAAAGTTGAAGGTGTTAACAGAATGTAAGCATGTGTATCATTCTGAATGCTTGGACATGTGGCTTAGTGCACGTCCTAATTGCCCTCTCTGTAGGACTTCTCTACATGTTAGTAATTCTTTGAAGAAATCTTCTTCGTATATAACTTAATTAGATGTTGTTAATGTTGAATGCACCATATATAGCTTGTATTCAGTTTTTATTTTGATC